ATTGGTCCATTGTGCCGGGCACGCGCGTTCACGCGGCGTGCATCTGTCCAGGAAGCTCCTTTTTCCACGGATGTACACCGGTTGTCATCGATCTCTCGTTGTTCGCGAATCAAGGAGGTGGCCCTGGACGCTCGTTCGAATGGGAACACGTCAAAGGAGACGTCGAGGAGACCGTGCATCTGCCTCTTCGCTGCGCCACATGTCCTCTCGAGGATGCAACTTCAGATTATCGAGGAAGAAGCGCGAGAAGTCTAGTCGTTTTCCGTCCCTTTCGCCCACAAATCACTCGAAAATCCTTCTAATGCTTGTTCGGCCCCTAATGCCCGCCATTAGTCACTTTTGTCGGGTCGAGGATCGACGAGAGACTTATCATTGCTTGAGCTCAACTTTGACGGTTTTATGGGACTTTTTATGGAAGAGAGACTGAAGACTCCAGGGAACGCGCTCGCGATTAATTCGAACGTTTCGGAGTGCATTAATGGGGATCTTGATGGACGAAAACGGGTCCCGGGGAACGGGAATGCAGAAGGGGCTGCGATTTCGAGCAAAAAATTCTGCACGCTGCGCCTAGCAATCAGACCTTGGTGAAAATATTTCAACTCGTAATGAAAGGGCTACTTTAACGTGCTGTAACTCCGCGAAGAAAAATCGCAGCCACGTTCATCTTTTTTTAAATTAAAGAGGAAGGTTTAAACTTTATTCGAGCCTAAACCGCGTCTCCGAAAAAAATTTTGTAAAGTCCGTGCATTTCGTCAGATTTGGCCATTTAACCAAATAACCTTTGCAAACATCGCTTCACATTTAAAAGATTACAGCGGTGAGGATGCGTCAATCTTAAAATCTAGAAACGCTATCTTAAAGTAGAGATTTCGAACTTTAATTTGAAAAAATAGTCATCATCCTGCGATGATTTTCCGAGGAGTTATCGTCAGTCAAAGTTGGCCAATTTTGATTCAACATTTTTCTATGCTATAATTTTTTCGAACATTATATTTACTATTATTATTTACGAAATAAAATGAGTACATCGAATTTAAAACAGTAGACAGATTAAGAGAATTTAAGAGTGTCTTTGCAGTGCCATTATAATTGCAAGACGAAAATTCGTTAGTTTCAACGTTAATATTTTTGTCGGGATGAATGGTTCGGCGATACGAATAGATTCGGAAAGCACACATGCTGAGCGAAATGGAGATTTCAATGCAAGTTGACCCAATTACATTCGATACATATGGAGGATTCGGCGACAAATGTTCCCGGAAGATTCGATGGAAAATCGACAGCCATCGAAGGACAATAGGAACAGCTGTCGGAATCGGCGGCCGATCTGTTCAACGGTTCAAGATCAGAAAGCAGGGATTAAATGTGGGAAACGGAACACAGAAAGCGTGGAAATTCTGATTTTCGGATAAGCACGGCACATTGTCGCCGCCCCTTCGAATATATTCGGCCGAAAATGTCGCCTCGAACATAATAGTTCCAGAAGAGGACAATTATTCGCGCCCCGATAAATCGACCAGATAAAATTACACGACCGAAACAGGAAATATTGACGGTATTAACAGGAAACCTACCATCGCCGGTCAAATGATCGGTTACACAATTTTGATTTCATGATTGTTGAAGTCATAAAGCTGTTTCCATCGAAAATTGTTGAATACATTTATTTATTATAAAAATTTGTATGAATTCCATCTCGTAATTCTTACGTGACAATTTTTCGTTAGTCGCTTTCAAACCTCGCTGGGTCGAGTGTTAAGCACGCCGGAGACATCGATCGATGAAATTGACGATGAAATTGGATTCGTCGCTCCGTGAAGTTATTTTCAATCCGTTGAAAACCAATTGCAGTTGATGGGACGACAGAACAGAACAACAAAAAGAACGAAAAAAAAGATTCCGTTCTACTGCGCTGTTTTTAAATTTCTCTGGAAAAAAAACGGCAGATCGCAGAAACATCCCGAGTCCATACACGAATAATAAAATTGCACGGTATAAATATTGATGGATATTCTGCAGAAATAAGAGAGAGAGAGACCGAATTTACGACTGCACGCGTTCGAATAATAAAATTGCATGGTACCAGCCGACGAAAATTCTGCAGAAATGAGAGAAATCGCGTTTACGTTTGCACACGTTTGTCGATCGAAATGTTCAATCAGCCCGAGTGGCCTCTATGGATATTTCGTCCCGAAAATACCTCGAACTCGCGTCTCGCGAATTTAAAAATCGAACCGCACGAAAATACACGGCACTTGGAATAAATCGCTCGAATTTATCAACGTCCTAGTTGAGAAATCGATCTTTACGGTGCCGCGGACGTCCCTGCACTCGACGATCCCCAAAACAAACAAGTTCATAGAGTTCCTCCACCAGCAGAAAGCGCCCCAGCCGATTCAAGAAATCAGCCATGGAAATCAAAGAAAATCCCGTGTCGCAGTACGAAAGGAGCAGCTGTCGAAATCACTATAGGAGAAACCGAAGATTAAAGGGGAGGAGAGAAGGGACAGAAGGGAGAACCACCCTGCGTGCACCCGTAACAACCCTCTGCAGCTCGAAAAATCGCGCACGTGTTCGGGGTGGTTCCGCGATCCACGTACGTTCGATCCGCGCGGGCAACTTTAAAATTAATTTCCTACCCTAATCAAGCAATTTCGAGGACAAACTTCTCAATAATAGCCTTCTGCTTGATCCGTCGTCCTCCTTTACGTAGCTTCCCCTCGAGTACGTGGAAGAGGTTGGGCTATGACAGTAAATTCTTCTATTAATTCCAAAGTAATTAGTAGACTGCGGATTTGATGCATTCACGACAAAAATGTGTAGCTAAAATATAAAATTATGAAGGCATAAGAATGATTTAATGATATAGTTACATTATCTTCAGTTTATTAAAACGATAAAAAAAACAAATTTATTTTAATTTAATCTTCGTTCATTGGACAATTTTTTAAATTGAATTAAATCAAATTGATCACACGAAATAAATTAAATTAAATTGAATTACACAAAATAAATTAAATTGAATTGAATTACACAAAATAAATTAGATTAAATTGAATTACACAAAATAAATTAGATTAAATTGAATTACACAAAATAAATGAGATTAAATTGAATTACA